AGAGACGATAAACAAATTAAACTAGGTAAAGGGTGAATGGTACAGGACTGACAAACATCTCGTGAAGACCAACAATCCCCGCTTATTTCACCTGTTGAATAAACATCCTAACAGAAAATGAAGGGTTCTTTGAGGTAAGCATTAGGGTGTTAAATCATCAGATGAAGTAAATTGGGGTTCCTTATCTCCATAACATCCATCATATAACACTAAGTTCACTACTACTACTACTTTGCTGTCACTCGGAATAGAGTATGACGATCATCCAGCTATGATACAATGAAATGAGTTATTAGGGATGTCACCTAGGTTGGTAAATTTTGAGGTGACTAAAGAGGCAGATATGGGGATCCGCAGCGTCGTTCACATCCTTATACATTTTCAATTGCCAGCCGGCATTACGTTTACTATTCGTTAGGAGACTGTAAAGTAGCTGCTTTGGCAGTCACTGTCGTCCATGCGGGTAACATGGCCGGTCCAGCGTAGTTGCTCATGGATAATGGTAGCCTCGATGTTCCTACAGTTGGTGTCAGCAAGAATACTGGCATTTGTTCTCTGTTTTTCCATCGAACACGGAAGATGGAACGTAGACTACGTCGGTGAAAGTTTTCAAGTGCCTTGAGATGCCTCCTTTATGTAACCCATGTCTCACTATCATATAGCAGGGTGGGAAGGACTACTGCTCGATATACGTGCAGCTTTGTAGATAATTTCAGCTCCCTACAGCTGAAGACACGTTTTCGGAGTCTGCCAAAGGCTTGAGATGCACATCTGATCTAATGATGAATCTCTTCATTGATGTCTGTGGTGGTGGACAGGTAGGAGCCGAGATACTGAAAGTGGGTAACGTTAGAGAGCGTAGTACCGTTAAGCTGGATGGATGGTGGAGGTGTCTGAACCAGGGGCAGGTTGAAAGAGAATCTGAGTCTTACGTACAGTCTCGTTCAAGATTCTTCGAACACTGCTGGGGACAGCTGGCAACTCGAGGTCGTTTGTTTACTATAGTACGCAGTAAAATATAATACGAAACAACAAAGCCCAACTATTAAATTAAGCGACGGGGAACGAAGTAACCAACCACTTTTACATTTATTCATAATTTTTACTACGTACTACAGTAAACAAACGGCCTTGAGTTGCCAGCTGTCTCCAGCAATGTTCGAAGAATCTTGAACGAGACTGTACATTCACCTCAAGGCCGAAGTGTGCATACACATCTGCATAGGTGTTCAGGATCTCCTGTAGGTCGTGTTCAGTGTGAGCAATAAGGGTGAGGTCGTCTGCATACTGAAGTTCAGTAATGAAAGCTGCCGACACTTTTGTTCTTGCCCGAGTCGTCTTATGTTGAAAAGACCCCCCTTTACCCGGTACTGGATGTTCACGAGTAAGCAAGGCAGCCAAGAAAACGGAAAAGAGAGTTGGTGCCAGTACACACCCTTGTTTAACCCCTGTTTGGATGGGGAAGAACTGACTGGGTGTTGTTGTGCAGGACACTGCCGTTCATGCCATCGCGGAGTTGCCTCACAATGGCGATGAATTTTGGTGGGCAGCCAAAACGGCTGAGGGTCCACCAGAGGGCTTCCCTGTTGACCAAGTTGAAGCCCTTGGTTAGGTCGATGAAGGACATGTACAGGTCACAACGCAGTTCTCTGCACTTTTCCTGTATCTGACGGGCAGCAAAGATCATGTCAGTGGTACCACGTGATGGTCTAAAGCCACATTGAGATTCTGGGAGGAAGTTTTCCACCTCAAGAAGAAGTCTGTTAAGGAGTTCTCGGGCAATAATCTTGCCAGGTACTGACAGCAGCGAGATCCAGCGGTAGTTGCCACAGTCTGACCGGTCTCCCTTGCTCTAATAAATATTGACACTGGAAGCGTCTTTAGGAGCTTGGGGGATTTCCTCCTCTTCCCATGTGTTCTCCAGGAGAGAGTGGAGACGGCTGGTAAGCAGAGGTCCTCCTGCTTTATACACCTCGGCTGAGATTCCATCAGGTCCTGAGGCTTTGTTATTTTTCATCTGTTTGATGGCAGTAGCTACCTCATCCAGGGATGGAGGATAGCCGAGGGGGGTGAGCTCTGGATGCTGAGGGACCTGCTGGGTAGTCAGGGCATCCACATCGGTGTTTCGGTTGAGCAGTGGATAAAAGTGCTCTTTCCAGCGTTGAAGGATGCCTTCATCGTTTTTAAGTATGAAGTTACCATCAGATGAGCGGAGTGGGGCTGTGCCACGAGTGATTGGCCCATAAACTGTTTTAATGGAATTGAAAAATTCGTGCATCTTGTGCTGATGTGCAAGTTCTTGTGCTTCACAATGCTTTATTTTATGCCAGTTATTCTTTAGAGTGCGAAGTTCCCGCTGGGCCGTCACTTTCTTCTTGCAGAAGGTATCAGCTTTGGTCTGAGACTGAGAGTTGTTCTGCCACTCAGTTAAAGCATCACGTTTATCATCAATGAGTACATTGATTGCTGGGCCATTTTCATCAAACTAGTCCCGGTGTATTCTTTCGATCTGGCTGATGGTCTCTCTGCAAGTCCCAGTGCCGAATGGGATTTTCTCAACACTGGTGTGACTATAAGTTCAACATTTGTGGACAACGACAACGACGTCGAGGAAAGACATACAGCTCTTCATGCGTCGAAAAATTAAATAGATGCTAATGAATGTTGCCATCACTGATTGATATAAATCACGAAATTAAATATATTCAGCTCAAATACACAATTTTAATGATATCGTTTCACAAATATAAGGATTCATTGTGTTGCTTTCAATTTATTAAAAAGGTTAATATTTTACAGTGTGTAAAATATTTGTGAACCCACACAAATATTAGCGTAACTATACTGCGTTTTTTCTCAGCTGAGAAAAGATGCCCCGCCCCCTCCTCAAAATTTACAGATGATTGACTGTTGCAAATCTGTCCGATTTTGTCCTGAAGTAATGATGTATTTCTAAATGAGTTTATTCATAATCGTTGGGATGATCGTTTCTGACAAGAAAGATATTTAGCTAAATTATATAAAGATACATACAATCATTATTTCAAACATAAGCACGTAGGAAGTTTATCAGAAGTATTATACATGAATTAACTGTTAAACTCTGGTAGCAAATTCACGCTTTCGGAAGATGCATTTAATATACAGGGTGAGCATAAAGTCTTTCCTTGATTATGAAAAATCATATCTCGAAGACCATTCTAGATAGAAACATGAATGTTGTAGCATTGTGTAGACGAAATCATAGATTTTTTTTTCCATGCATGTTTTAAGCTGCAAAAAACTGTATGTTGGTACCTAGCATATGTTGTGTGTAATAAATGTTTGTAATCAGGGAAAGATTTTATGCTCACCCTGTATACTTATTTTTACCTACAATAAGGCATACTAAGACAAATTACATACCAGTAATACTACATTATGCAAAAACTAAAATTTTTAAAGAACAGAATCACAATGAAATATTAAACGACCGTCAACAGAGGCGGGAAATATGACTGCGAACAACTTCATATAGAGTACAGTATGACTGCTGTACTTCAAGTCTCTCCGTGCACGAGTTACAACCATAACCACAAACAAATTTACATGCCAAGAGGTGACCTAAAATATTCAGCTCTTAGGGTTGTCAGAGTAAATTTAAGATCCGTGAATAAACGCTATAGCTCTCTCCATTCCTCTCTTATCCTGTGGACACACTAACTTAGATACAGACACCACTGACCGCCCTACTTATTCGACAAGTCACTGAAAAAAAAAACGAGATCTATACCAGATGATGAGTTTTTTCTTGTTATCTGTTCAGTTCCACAATGGTAAGATAAAATAAATATTGGTTATCAGTAACAAATAGTTCAATCCCAATTACGGGAAACGTTCCCTGAATGTTGGTGCTGAATCACGACGACGATGATGATGTGGTGGTGGTCATGGTGGTGTCGGTCTTAAAGATACGGTGTCGGTGATGAGGATGCCTGATAATGGTGACTGGGTACTGTGGGAGCGAGTGACAGGACGTGGTAGTGGTGTTCGTCATGGTAATGGTGAAGGCGGTGACATTAGTAGTGGTGACAAAGTTAATCAGGAACCTTGAGTAAAGAGACCAATGAAGAAAACTGAATTTGCATTCTTAAAAGACAAAGAAGCAATGGTTTTAAATTAGACAAATTCAGTTTTAGGCGGGGATTAAGTCGACAATTATTTGGAAACAGCTTTGTGGATGAGTAGAACAAGTTACCAAACACCATCATTAACTCGAACTCGTAGGGAGTTGAAAGATAGGGGTTGGGTGTAAACAGGGCTGCCTAGTCTGGGCTACCTGGCCCGCCGCAGTTTCCTTCATTCTTTTGTTATTAAGTGGTGGTAGCGAGGGTGACGGTGGTAGTGGTGGCGGTTGGAGTGTGCTTATCAACGCCTCCGGTTGTGCCCAGTGATAAGATAGGCAAGTAGGTATCGGACGATAACAATGAAGTCAAACCATCTACCTTCGTGACCCGTCACATTGAGAAAGCGACGAGAAACAACGACGAGAAACACTGCTTGGGACAAACTTTCTCGTCCTGTTTTCCTTACTTCAAGGATGTGGGCCGACGGGGGAAAGATAAGGAGACGGGATGTAAAAAAAATATATACGAAGACGCAAGGAAGAGATAACAAGACCAGGGAGAAATGTTGCCCGAGAGAAAGTAGCTACAAAGAGGGCAACTGTCGGGGTAAAACAAGGTGGCGGAAGAGTTATCAGGACGGCCGACTTGTGCTCAACTCCAACACCTTGAGCATACCACGGTCCTCTAGTCACACAACGTCAAGTAACGATCCAACTGATATGGTACAAGACGCATGACGTCAGTGAATGAGAAATACTAAACTAACATACTCCCAGATGAAGGGGTAAAGACACTCATGTTGTACCTGCATATATAATGGTTGTGCAGCATATACCTTACTGGTGGTCGAATAATATTACTTAATGAAACGAAGATTATATTTATTATTGATAGTGCCACCAGTTCCAGTAGTAGTGACCGGTTGATCAAGCCCTCCACCAGTTCCAGTAGTAGTGACCGGTTGATCAAGCCCTCCACCAGTTCCAGTAGTAGTAACCGGTTGATCAAGCCCTCCATCAGTTCCAATAGTAGTGACCGGTTGATCAAGCCCTCCACCAGTTCCAGTAGTAGTGACCGGTTGATCAAGCCCTCCACCAGTTCCAGTAGTAGTGACCGGTTGATCAAGCCCTCTACCAGTTACAGTAGTAGTAACCGGTTGATCAAGCCCTCCACCAGTTCCAGTAGCAGTAACCGGTTGATCAAGCCCTCCACCAGTTCCAGTAGCAGTAACCGGTTGATCAAGCCCTCCACCAGTTCCATTCATAGTAACCGGTTGATCAAGACCTCCACCAGTCCCAGTGGTAGTGACCGGTTATTAAGACTCCCGAGCTGGTTTACCAGTCTTGCCCACTGCGTGCTCACCATTCCTTAAAACACCATACAAGTCACCGACTTTCCTGTACAACAAACACGCCACAACCGTTGTTTGTCTAACCATACTGAACCATCATAGCCTGACTAAGGAGTACAGCGGTTCTCTGCCACTTTTCTCATTGACGCTAACTAGAGGCTAGCTATCCCCTAACACTGCATGATCTTCAGTAAAGGCTATAATCTCTCCTACAACTGAGCTGATACTGTAAGTGTCAACTAGGGCCATAAACTGGGAAGAACCTCCCCGCCGGGCCATCCAGGGCCAAGAGCCAACCACTACATCTTAATTTAAGTTCTCCACACGATATTGATCTTCCCACGACACCAAGAGACACGCTGCCGCTCTTCTGTCTTCACGGGTCTTCATAAAGCAAGTTACCAACATCGATCAAACAGGCTACCTAAAGTTAGAAACGCTTTTTAACATTCACTACAGCATCTGATACCTCGCGGCACTTTTCCCTGAATGACTCGTGTCTTTTGGTCGCTCAAGACATTTAAAATAGAACAAACTCAAATGACAGGGTCGTAAATTATGTTATGAGTTTGCTGTTGGCATTGTGAATCAGCAGTGACGAAATAATAGTGAGTGAAGGACTGGGTTGGAAAACGCCCACCCGGATATCCTTGTATAAAAGACACCCCCATCTCGCCCCGGATTCAATTCTTACTGAATTAAGAAAATTTCAATAATTCATAGCGCTCCATATTCCTGGGATGGAAAATGGAGGGCGACTTCGCGGGTGGCGAATGGGATGACTGATCCAGCCAGTTGACCGTGCACCAGAAACTGTACGAGACTGACGAGCGCGAGCTGCACCTCCTTGACCTGGCAGTTTACTCCGGGACCGCAATACACCAGGCGTTCCCACGGAACCACAACAGGTAAAATACCTCCAATTTGTTACTAACCAACGGGTTTATCCTGAGATACGGTTATAATGTGCTGATTCCTATGTTCAACTTTAATCTTACCTATAACATAATTAAAGTTAACCGTCCGTGGTGTAGACGGCGTCCAAGATTCAAACGTGAAATGTATTGCTCATGATGGACCTGACTCACTAACCAAACGAAAAGCGGGATGATAAACATGTCAGGTGAGTTATCTCTATTGGCTTCTATGCCTTCTTTCTGAACTTACACCCGGCGCTTATCAAAATAAACCCCCGATGATTCATATCGTCCATCTGTGTTTGTCTTCTGCCTGAGGAGCGCCGAAAATAGACATCAAAACAGACCTCCAAAGCACAAGTCACGGTAATATATTCCTCGGAGAAATTTAAGGTGTTCTTAGTTGTAGGCGAGAGGGAGTGAGAGCAGAACCCTATAACAAGATAACATATAATACAACTATAATAAGAGAATGTGTTAGTGATACCATGGTTTATACCATTTTTTTTACCTTATGATATAAGGTAAATTAATGGATTTGAAAATCAAATTTACGGAAAGGATAACACAAAGGAACGCAAAAATTAATGTTTTAGCGGATCTCCTAATTCATGTCCATTTTTATTCGACTGGAATATAAAAGACAAGGAAGTTAGGTAAGACTACCCCAGATTTTTTCTTACCCAACAACTCGACGGGATAAGGAACAAAGGTTTTCTGGTGACTAGACAAAGCTTCCCAGGTAACTGTTTCTTTAACCTCGGCTGCTAATACTACGGTACAGTAGTAGTCCACAAACTTTAGTATCTTAACTTTCCAAGATTTTTCTGAATAAGCTGGTGGCTTTGCACGTGTCTGCTGGAGAAAGAAAGTAACATCTCGGGACTGTGAATTATTTTGTCCTAAAAAGGGGCGTGGCGTTGTTTTCTCTCAGCAGTTCAGATATCTACGTCGAACGGAGATACATATTTCCAGTGCACAAAACACCATGATAAAGAAACATAGGAAAGCATATGCTAAAAGGAACCAAAACATATGCAACATAAAAAGTAAATTTAATATATTGTTTATAATTCTTACCACAATGCGGGACATAAAATTTACATTAAAACAATACTGCAAATTCATGTGACTGACGACCTTGGCTAAGTCACCTGTTGATGACCTCGGCGGAGTCACCTGATGATGACCCTGGCCAACATAAACACACGGGGTACAAGGGCCGGTAACTGCAACAGCTGGGAGTTGGAACAGATGTTGCCCACCGAGAAAGTTGGTCTCTGCTCGACCTTTAAAAAGAGGAGAAATTGGCAAACGGTCGCCAGGTAAACTTAATGCAGGTAAACCCCAAGTAAAGCCGACCAAGCCAGCGCAACAGAACCCCAGGAGCGTTGACCGAGGTGGGTGTGGGACAACTCACGATCGATGTGCCAGCTTGGATTTGGACCCAGCTGCTGCCTGCCTGCCTGCCCGCCCTGGCTTAAATGAACCAGAATTGCTAATCACTTGTGATTCACGCACCACTTGGTATATATTTTGTCATAGCTCCTTTTTAGCACACATACAATCTTGTACAGTAGCTACAGTACTGTCCCCTTCATTACTACATTTGTTTTTCTTTCTTTTTTAAATATAGTGAATTCGGGCTTATTTTTAACCCCTTTAAAACTGGTTTGGGTGCCAAAATGGGCAATAATAATAATAATAATAATAATAATAATAATAATAATAATAATAATACAAAATTAGGTGAAGCAATAGGAGAAAAAAGTAAAATCTAATATATATTTGAGAAAAAACTATCAATGGTCACTAAGACAAGAGCCACCCCCCCCCCCAACTCCACTCTCCTGAGTCGTGGATATTTAGTGACTTCCCTCTCTCTCTCCCTCACACACACACTGCACGCAGCCACCAGAGGAACTTCAAACCTCAACGGTTCATCCTAATTTATTTCTTACCAACTCAAGATCCCAAGACCAAATACCGGATCTCCTGAAGAACGAATCTCCACCCCAGTTTACTTCACCTACAGATCCACCACCGTAACGTAAACCTAACCTAACCTCATCTAAATTAGTGTTTGGGTGTGAGTCTGTAGGAGGTGAATATGCTGGGCCACGTGGAGACTCCTGTGATCCCAAATAGCTACTAAAAAACCACAAGCCAAGATGCAATTCAAGTATACCATAAAAAAGTGAAAATTTGTAAGACATTTTTCACCGCTTTCAGGAGAATCTTTCCGGCATGTAATTCACAAGGCGACTTGATCCTGCCTCCTGGTAAATACGTAATGGATGTTGGGCCAAATAAACCTTAACAAGGTGCCAACGTAAAATACCGCACCAGACTTCCCACATGATATATTTTACTGAATGTTTTAGCCCGGCTCCTCCCTCCCTTCTCCCACTCACTCATTCTCGGGTAAAATGACCACGCACATTGCCTTCACCCACTATCAACCCACCTAAATCATCATAAACCCACCACACTCGCCTCGCCACCAACCCACCTCACTCGCCACCACTAACCCACGTCGGCCACCACTAACCCACCTCACCCATCGGCAACCCACTAATCCAGCCACACCTAGTCAAAATGCACCTTCTTTATCCAACCACAACACACCCACACACACAGCTGCAGCTAACAACAGTAATCCACACGGCCAACAGCAACTATCAAGTGCCTCTATTAGTCTAGCCCTGAACAACCAAATCACCCATCCTGTTCCCCCACCATCACCCAAGCACAATTGTCTAATCATCACCCTTCAGCATCAGACAACACCCATTCACTCACCTGAGGACAGCACCCTTACTCACCCACTGACAAATGTTTGTGTCACCGTAAAGAACAAGCCCCCCCCCTACATACACTAACAAACGTTTGTGTCACCGTGGAGAGAGCAACATCCAGAATGAACTATCGAGTCATCGTCAAGAAGCACCTGGCGAAAAAGATACGAAAAATACCGCCCTCCATCCCTCAGGTGAAAATTTAATTAGGTAACCCAAAGACACTATACATGAAAACTTAATTTATTATTTTTGTTTTATCCTTAACAAAGTCTCGGGCAGAAAGGACACAAAAAGACCTTTACAAATGAACATACTCCGTGTATAGTGTATGTGGAGTGGTGGTATAAAAAGACGCGCTGCGGAGTAAAACAATGGGAAGAAAACAACTCTTAGAAGAGAAGCTGGAAAACTGTGGAAGAAAAGAATAGAGCTGAGCAAGACAATAGAGATAAGGCAATATAAAACAAACAAAAACGGGGGTTAGCCAAAACACGACGTCCTAAACAAAGCAAACGGCGGGACAAGAGGAAGAGGCCAAACATGACGTAGAGGATTCCGGTTTGGCCTGGGAGGAGTAAATCACGCTGAGGAAGTTTGTGGGTATGATGGAGGGTGCCATCACGCACACGTGTGCCAGCCACATTATAAATGCTGGCTTCATCTGTGCCACACCCGCCTCTAACTTCTTACACAAGGCAAGGGAAATGCTGGCCCCAAATCCTAATGATTAGGTTGGGATTTATAGGACTTGGGCCCATTTGATCTGTAACCTCCCTTTTTACATTATTCTTCACGGTATATTGTAAACCATACACACACACACACACACACACACACGATACAAACCATGTTAGGCCAGCGCCGCACCGTAACTAACATCTTGCATCTCGCAGGTGAGATGATTTAAATATGTTCAAACAAGCGGGAATGAACACCCCAGTCTAGCATTGAAGCATCTCGCGTCTCATTTTATGACAGCAAGTTCATTGTTTCCTATGCGTGACATAGCAACACTTGACAAGGTTGGTGAAACGAACTATTTATGGATATGAAACGCGGTGATTGAATACTTCAAGAGACACGAGATGATAAGATGTAACTCCAGTAAAATCCATTTTGAGGTAAAGGAATGGAAGGACTGTTATTTCACACTAAAATAAGAGACGCTATAACACAGTATTAGCAGCTCACGTGACAGTGGGCAGATAATAGAGCAACCAGAACACATCAACAGTCCACCAGAAAAACTTGACTGTTCCCCCACGTGGCAGGAAAAGACCAATTAGGAACCATTTACTAAAAG